CTCAAGTCCTTGTGGCATCACTCAGATGCAATATTGTGCTGCACTCTAAAGGTATGCTTGAAATGTATTTCAACTTCATTTCACATCTATCTATTTTGCATACCTTCTCTGTCCATAATGCAATTCAAATTTCTAACCGATAAAGGTATAAAAGAAAGGTTGTACCCTGAAGTAGAGGATATCAACATGGGTAAAGCCTGAGGTCCTTTTAAAACGTCCTAGGTGGATTAGTATTCAGCTGGCCCAATTTAAATTTGCCCTGATCTGATCCAAGCAAAATCTACCCCAACCTCAACTGCAGACTCATTTTCTACGTAGTACTTTGCAAGGAGTTTTACTTATCCGTGTTTCAAGTCTATTATCTATTCTTTATCAAAATATATTGCATATAAGTTGTAGAACAGAAGATGCGTGATGACATTATTTGATTGGCTCGTCTAACTTTGTTCTAACAGTGGCAATGACTTGTAAAACAGTTTCAACTATAACTACAATCAAGATATTCTATCTTGTTTGAGAGCACGTTCATTTAGTTTTTGGTTATGCAGGCATTGCCAGTGTTTACTTTCTCAAACCAGGCTGGGCTTGACATGCTGGAGACCACCCTAGTTGCATTACAAGATATATCTTTAGAGAAAATATTTGATGATCATGGACGAAAAATTCTCTTTTCAGAGTTTCCTCAGATTATTCAACAGGTCTAATATTTTTTTGTTCTTTTAGTAAAGCATTGATTCCACATCCATAAGACTTGCTGTTGAATGTTATTTTTTCACTATATTTATGGCACAGACATTTTTTGTGTGTTGTATAATTGTTTTGTATCTCAGATTATGCTTCACGGGATAAATTATTTTTGCAGTGGGTGAACTTGCTCTCATTTATAATTTATTTATTTTCCTCTGGATTGGATGTATGCTGTTAACAGAACTGATGCTTTCAATTAATTTATCCTCTTATGGTAGGGTTTTGCATGTCTCCAAGGTGGTATTTGTCTTTCAAGCATGGGCCGACCCGTCTCATACGAGAGAGTTGTTGCTTGGAAGGTGCTGAATGAAGAGGAGAATGCCCATTGTATTTGCTTTATGTTTATGAATTGGTCTTTTGTTTAAACCTTTTGTTCCGATAACACTTGTGCTTATTGTATCTAAGTGTTAGATAAAGATTTACTCTTTAAGACACGTGCTTTGTTAGTTGGTCATTTACTGTATCTGCCCTAAATACCTGGCTTGCATATTATATGACTATTTATATTTACTTGCTTGCTTATTCAACCTCTACCTAATATTTAATGCATAATGTTTCACCATCTGATGTTCGATAAAAAAAATTTTATACCCCGAACTGAGGGAAGAAAATTTGGTTATCCACCTTAAATCTTAATTTCCCTCGTTATTGTATTGCAATGCAGAGTTTACAAATACCAAGCAAACTGGTTTCGCATAACCCAACAAAGGGAAAATAACAATTATAGCTTAATCATTTCTAAGAAGTGATTGCTATGATTGTTTTGTTTAACGAGTTGGCAGTAGTGAGGCTTGTATACCATTCTGTTAAAATTGAAGTTGATTAGATGCGAAGCAGTTTCTGTAAGGTTCTTTTCTTCTCAGGAAAATTGACAGAGATGAATAAACCCAAGAAAAATTGTAATCAGTCACCTAAAGGTTCTGATCAAGAAATTATTTTTTTTAGAAAGTGTTATAATATATGCCTGTGATTCTTAATGCATTTTTAATAACAAAATTATTTATTTCTTGATTTTCCAATCTGCATTGTTACACATTTACTGGGGTGATCTTAGTGCAATAATGATGCATTTTGTTGGGTATCGTTGGGATTAGTGTGTGCATTATGGTCCATGTATGTCAACATGGTGGATGTTTCTGCTCATTAGAAAATATGATCTACTACAACTGTCCAACTGGCAACTGCGTCACTGACAATGGAGAACAGTGCTTCGAGACTGGTGTAGCATCACCGGTTTGAAAACATTTCCTTATAATTATTAATAGATTTATTTTGCATTTATATTTAATTATATTATTAAAAATTGAAGAACCGTGATTGAAACAAATTTAGAAAAAAAAAAAAGAGTGAATATTTTTAAAAAATTCTAATAGATATTCTCTAATAAATAATATGTGGATGGGTGATTCTGTTGGTGACGAGTATTAATTAGACTTAGGCTTAATGTGATTCACATATTCATCGTTTGACATATGTAAATCCTCTTTATTGGTAGGTCCTTAATTACCCCAATTCCGTATCCTTTATAACAAGAGGTATCCGTATGAGAAAGGCTTCTACTTTATTTAAATTAGTATCTTCCACGCAACTAACTTCAAATACTTTCCTTCTACCTTTTTAGGGTTCACTCCTCGTGAAATGAAAGTTCACGTATGTGGTGGAGGAAATTAAGGTCTCCTATACCTCTGCCTTGTTCCTTTCCTCCTTTTTTCGTGTAAATAACTTTACCCCAAAAGAAGAAACCCGAAGCTGGTATATGCTACCATGTGAATATCCTTCAACTTGTATTGCTGCTAGGTTTGTATTGGACCACATCTCTTCATCCATTCATTGCCTAAAGGAAGAACCTTTTAGAAATGGAAACAACCTCATTCACTGTATCACTTATGAATATACCATTACCTAATTATCATTCTAACCAAAAGGGGAGTTTCTCACCAACATTTCTGTGTGCAGCTTGTTACTTTAACTCAACATGGACATACCATTTTGCTCCTGATTTTATCAAACTTTACTTTAAGATTCATTGTCTCTCAAACCAATTGCTTCTATTCAATGTCATTAGAATATAAATATTTTTTACATTCTTTCATTTTTATGTTTGCGCCAGTGAAAAGGATAAAAGAGAAAGTTATATTAGGTTAAGAGTTACCCGATCTTTCTTATAGAACAATTTTTCCTTCATCCATTGCTCCACTAAAAAATACATAAGCTATGCAGATAAAATTAGGATTTCTCAATATAGGTTGTAATTCCTGACCTGATCACATGGGTTCGAGTCGGGTTAGGTTCGATTTTTTTTCATTTTTATCAATAATGGATTAAAAATAAATCTGGTTCACTTAACCCACGGATTAAGTGGATTTGAGTTGGGTTATGGTGGATTAGTATGCAACCCACTATTCATTTTAAATTTTAAAAATAATTATAATAATTTAGTCACTTTAATTGATGTTATCTTGCCTCTTTACTTCTACTTCACGTTGTTACTATAAGTCATACTCTTACTCGAGCTTATCATCAATTATTCGCTAGACCACTGTGTTCGTCACTGTACCTAAACTGCTTGTCATTTGTCCGTCGTAATACTAAATCATCGTGTTCTTTGTGTTTGTTGCGCTATCGCATTTCAGTCATATCACAATGTTTATCGTGTTTCAATCCTGTAGCTCAATCGTGTCATAACGTTTGTCATGCCACCACGCTATAGTGTTTTAGTCTCGCATTTCAGTCACATCCCAACTTTTACCCGCCACCGCATTTGCCGCACCACTGCATTATTCGCGACACCACAACATTGTCTTTCAATTGTACCATAGTGTTTGTCGCATTTTAGTCACGTCATAATTTTTGTCATGTCTCAGTGTTATTGCGTTTCAATTTTGTGATTCTGTTGTGATTATTAGAAAAAAAAATAAAGAAAAAATAGATAAATATGAGTTACTGAGTCAATCCACTTAACCTACCAACCCGTAGTGGATTGACTCAAATTGTAAAATTTCTAACTTGCCATAAAATAAGTTAGGTTAAGTTCACTTATTTTCAGCTCAACTCGTGTTGAGTCACCCGGTTTACTTACTTTGACACCTCTAAATAAAATGTATAATGAAAATTGCAACTTCAAAACATTTTTTTCACACTGTTTCTCTATATGTATAATCTAGGAGTATGTTTTATGGATACGAAATTTTAGTTAAATTTTCAAAACAAATTGCCTTGCATGGCAATTAGTTAAATAAAACGTTTTATTAAGTAGGGTTTGTTTGTTTGTTTCATAGGTACTTATATTTGTTTTTAAATTGTGGAACATAATTAGGATGCATTATTTAAAGGATGTTTTGATGTGAGAATTTATTTTTTAATAAAAAACGGACAAAGTCTACACGTAAAATTTAAGATTAATTGCTTTATAATTTATCATCAACTTCATTTTACAACTAATAATAAGCATTCTTAAATATAAACGAATATTAATTATAAAATTATATGTGAATGTTTAATTTAAATAAAGTATGATATGCATTATCATTGTAATAATATCATATAATTTAACCATTGAATTTAAAATGCTTTTAAGCAGAGTATTTTATGAATACTATCAGCCTTCTTTGGTTGGTATTAGGTTTAGTTTTAGGTTTGACTAGATAAGAAGAGAAAATGAAATGTGAAATAAAGCAAACCACGTAAAAGAAACTGAAAAATAGTAATATTGTATAAATTGCTACATAATTTTATTAGATCAAAATGAAATCCTCTTCCACTCGAAATTGGGGTGGAGATTGATGAACTTCCAATCTTTTTCTCTAAAAGAAAGCATGCATGCAGCATGTGTCTTAACCTATCTTTTTTGAAGACACAACCACCAAGCACGGAAGTACAGTACTAAGTAGAGAAACATTTAGATAACAACAAATGAAAGCCACAATCTTTCAGGTTAGATGCACATTTATGTCAAATTTCAAAAAGCTACACAACCCATTTCCTTTCCCATTAAATCTTTCGTGAAAAATCTAGCAGGTTCACGATTATGGAAAACTGACACTTGAGTTTCTTAGATCCACCCATGTTCACAACTCTCATATTCACCGAACAAAGTAGAACTATTATAAATAGGATTGCTCCTTCCTTCTTCATGTTTTTCCATATAATGCATTGCTGTTTACAATACAACACTCTTAAACTCAAACCCTTTTTGCAAGAATCAAGTTCAGACAGATTCATTCATAGCCTTATTCATCATTGATCCATCCTTTATGGCACCCCATGGAGAGTCTTTGGCTAGCTCTTTCTCTAGGAAAAGCAACATGTCAAAGCCACCAAAGCTTGCCTCTGAGAACCTTCAACGAACGGTCTCAGACATCTCTTTTGAGCTTACCAAAGAAGAGATCGATGATTTGAAGCTGCCACCAATATCTGAGGTTGAGAATGCCAAGTGTGAGTGCTGTGGGATGTGTGAGGAGTGCACACATGAGTACATAGACCGTGTGCGTGAGAAGTTCAATGGGAAATGGGTGTGTGGATTGTGTGGCGAGGCAGTGAAAGAAGAGTTGGAGAAAAATGGAGGGGAAAAGGAGGAAGCGTTGAGTGCACACATGAGTGCATGTGTTAGGTTCAACAAATATGGGAGGGCTTTCCCAGTTCTGTTCCAAGCTCAGGCCATGAAAGAGATGCTCAAAAAGAGCACTCTAGATGGTAGAAGGGCTAAGTCCATCAGCCCTAGGGACAAGGGAGGGCCAAAGAAAGGAGGGATTGCTCGTAGTTCTAGTTGCATTCCAGCACTTACAAGAGAGATCAATGATATCAAAATAGTCAACTAAAAGGAGAACGAGTCTTCACACAGCAGAAAGTTACACCTGTTATTTGATTCAAGACATGACATAAAAGCAAAGTTATGTCATGTATCTCATGACTAATCAGTTCAGACATAAGCTGTGTCTACTTAGTTATCGATTGAATCCAAAAATAGTCACTTTACGTATGTGTACAAAGGAAAGTTTACCTTTACCTACTATCATCTCATCCTCCTCTTTCTTACTTGATACCTTAGTCTTTTGAATTTTACTAGAAAAGCAACCCTTTTTTCGTGTGTTAGTGGTTAATTTTTCTAGTGCAGAGGACATGGTTTTGTATGTACAGTACCTAGGCCTTCCATCGAATGTACTGTAAGTATGAAGAACCCTACATCTGGTTTACAAATGCTTCCATTCCCACCTTTCAAGACAAAATAATGGCCTTATTATCTCGAAGAAGGCAGAAGTTGACTTCTGAGGTTTTTTTGGTTAGTTAGTAACCTTTCACTTCTTCTTCAAGGTGGTTTCTCCTGAGATATTGTTTGCATTTCCTTCACTAGAGAGGGTTCTTCTTTGTTTTTTGTTCAGTGGTTTTTCTGTTTATTTGTAACCATCTGCGATGTACTCTACTTATTACTAATCATATAAAAAGTTTACTTGATGCTCTCTGAGTCAGGTTTATAAAGGCTAAAACAGCACAGAACCATCATCATCGTCGTCACTGATTTTTTTTTTATACTAAATAAATACATCTGATTACAAAACGGAAGAAAAACTATCTTTTCAGAAAATAACAAATAAATAAAATAATTAATTTTACAATTACAAAATTATTCTTATTTTAATATCGAAAAGAATATAGAGAGGTGAATTTAGAAAATATTATTTGTTTTACAATTTCTAGTCTTTGAAAAAGGTGATATCTTTTATCATTTTGTTTAACAAATAAAATAAATATTTTTTATCCAAAGTGTTACAATTTCATATCTAATATATTATCCGTTTAATAATTCTAATTCACCAAAATAAATTTTATTTTAAAAGACGTTTAGGTGTATATAAATTTTTCAAATATACGTATGAACCACATGTTTGAAACTGACGTGAGAAGTCTGCAGAATCTACCTTGAGGTTCAACTCACTTACCTGAAGTGGTGTGGTGGGGTGAGGAAACCACAATAAAAAGGAAAACCAAAATAATATTCCTTCCTTCACTCTTTACAAGACTTTTCAAAATCTTGTTTCTTTTTATTATGATAAGATCATGTTATTTCCTCGTTGGACACTCACCCAAGTTCTATATATTGATAGAAAATTACTTAGGTGAAGAATGAGAGATATAAAATTTCTTATAGAGTAATAAACTGATATAACTATACAAGTTTTGTAAGATTATTATCTTTGGTTTTTCATAACGTACCTACTATCTCTAATTAAATATTTAAAACAATTTATAATGTACGTAATTTGAGAGTATACAAATGTTTACTTATTTAAATTTATTATTTTCAACTAATTTAATTTTTTTTAAAAGTGTAGATTAGTAAAAGACAAAGTAGTCTTACAAATAAGAACTAAAATTAGTATTAAATATTAAAAATATCATTTTGCATGCACCCATGGTTTTTTCTAGGGTCGGTCAAGTGCAAAACAACACATTTTTCTTTTCCTCCTTTTCCCCCACCACTTGCACTTGCACACACATATATATATATATGTCCTCCTTCACCCCTTCCTCTTCAACCCATTCATTCTTCTCTCTAAAAACTCTCATTCAAAACAAAAATCTCTCTCTCTCTCTCTCTCTCTTTTTTCTTTTGCTCTCTCAATAACTCATAATATCTTGAAACAAAAATAGAGATGGAAAACAATACACCAGTGCTTGCAAAGAGAGTGTGGAGCATAATACGTGTGGCCTTCTTCATGTTGAGAAAAGGCGTATCAAAGGGCAAGCTAATGATGCACCTCAACGTCGTGCTCAAACGCCGCAGCAAACTCGCCGGCAAAGCCATCACCAACCTCATGTTCCACCACCACCACCACCACGACGCCGGCGTCTCCGCCAACGACCTCCAGTTCTCCGCAGCCAGGGAGTACGAGTTCAGCTGCAGCAACACTCCCAACAACTTCTTCGCTGCCATAGGCAACAACAGCAGCAAGCGCCACCGCCACAACCCCTTCTTCACTTGCGTTCACGCCCCGCCCACCTTCGACGACGAGGACGCCGTGACCGTTACTGCCGTTAAGGGCGTGTTGGAGATGCTGAACAATGAAGCGGCGGTGGAGGCGTCTCCCGCAGCGGCCGCACTTTGTAGCCCTGCCGTGAGGCAGTTAATTAGGGTTACGGACTCTCCGTTCCCACTTCGTGAGTACGAGGATGACAAGGAGAACCAAGTGGATAAGGCTGCGGAAGAGTTCATAAAGAGGTTCTACAACGAGTTGAGGAAGCAAACCTGAGTTTCTTCCTTCTTCAATAACATTAATTTTGATATTTATGAACGTAATTAATGAAGCTAATCAATGTGTGTGGACTTAGAAAAGGATGCATCTAAGTTATTTGCATTCAGGAATTTTGTATGTTTAGTATTAATACTTGTTTCTTATATATGATGAACAATAAAGAATATGAAGTTGATGAGTATAATTAACTCTATTATATATATGTTTCTGTCCAAGTACTTACACTCTCTGGTTTTTAAACTCTACAATTGAACAAAATAAATTTTGGACGTGTCTAACTAAACACAACCATGTTAATGGAATCTTCTCTGTATTGTAATCAAAGAATGTTGCTGCACACAATCATTCGTTTGGATCTTGTTTTGTATTGTCTTCGTTTGGTGACAAAATAGTGTGCCAAAATCATGAGTTAACATTTGAATGTGTAAATGGTGAGTGTGATTTGGTGTTAAAGTTAAATTGGCTTTAGCAGAGAGAGCACCACTAATGTGAAAGTGAAACCATAGCTGGCCCCCTCTCAAAAACTCTCAACTTTCCTTCTTTTGCTTTTTTGCTTTTGATTCTGTCGTTTAACCACTTTTCATGTTTTATAATAACACACCACTTTTCTACTGCTTCATTAAGTTGGTTTGAAAAGAAGGTTTCAACGCCTCCATGGGAAGAAAAAACAGTTCTCACGCACACAACAACTCACAACTTTAATTGGTGCTGTTATCAAATCATTCATTATATATTATCTCCACCTTCGTTTTGTTTGTATATATACCCATGCAAATCATGTACTTATAGTATAAAAAAGTATTCCAAATAAAACGTTGATTAAGTCAATATATAATTAGTAAGACAATGGTTTTCAAATCGTATCATTTTAATTTAAAGGTTTAATTGGATTCAATCATATTTAATAAAATAATATTTTTATAATATAATAAATATATAATATATTTATTAATAATAATGTTTATTTTATAAAAAAATAATAAAAATTGTTATTATCATAATAATTTATAATAAAAATTATAAATATAAAATATAGTATAAAATAAAATATAAGATAAATAATTGTTAAAATATAAAAAAATAATTAAAATAATTTTAATTTAAAATTAATGTAATTATGATATTAACATATATATTATTTTTTATCAACACGGTTCGACCTAAAAACTGGTCTCTAATGTGTTTGTTGATTACACCGGTTAAATCAATTTGTCTGATTCGATTTTTAAAACAATGAAAGATAGAAAACAAAACTAGTAAACCAGTTGTTTGAACTTTTGATTACTTCTCCACAGCTCCTTTTCTATAAATATTCTTAACAAAATAATTAATTAATCAAAATTATTTATATAAGCCAAATTAATCGTCTATTATTATTAATCAATTAATATATATAATCTATAAAAGATCGACTTAATTCATTAATTAGTTTATTTTATAAAAAAAAATGAATGTTTTATTATGATTCTGTGATTGTTGTCATATGAAGTTGATCCTCCCATTTCTTCTTAAAAGGCTTAACGCAGCCATGCTTTTCATAAGCAAACCTTTCTTGTAAAGCTCTTTAATTATGTTCAACTTTTGCTTCTTCTTTTTCCATTTATTCAAACTTCAACTTTCTTCTTCCAACAAAACAAAAATGTTTCACAGCCAGAGAAATTAAATCTTGTAGAGGGCCAAAAAAAAAATTTCAATTAATCTGCGGTGAGAACAGGGTTACTTCTCCCTATAAAGTTTTTTTTTTTCCTTAGCAAATTAATGTGATTTAGAGCATTTCCAAAAAAAGAGTTATCACGTCATTTATTAAAAATAAAAATAAATATTTTATTATAGATATCAAAAAGAAAAAAATAACTTAAAATTGAAAGAAATTTTATTATATAAATAATTTTGATTAAATTTTAATCAACTCAATTATGATACTCATAATAAAATATTCAATTTTATTTTAAAATAACTATCGTTAAAACTCCTTCTAAATATGCTCTTAGTTTTAAATTTTGTTTCATTGTCTAATATTTCATTCTTCATTTAAATGATTCTTTTTATTTTATGAATAGTTTGTTGTTTTGGAAACATCAGAAAATAATTCAACATAAATGTAAATTCCTTATTATGCCAAATAACATAGCCTTTGTTTTTATTAAAAAATTTCCTTTATTATATAAATTTCAATAATAAGAGAGTAAACATTAAAAAATTATATAGTAATTTGTTGAAAATCAGATACAAATATAACTAAATAGAAATTTAGTTTCACAAAAATAATTATACTATTATGTATAAAGTTATCATTTAAATATTAAGATGGAGTAATACTAGTATAAAATCAAATTATGATTGATATAAATTACGAGACACTATTATTATATATAAAATATTAATATTTAAATAATAACATCTTTATAATGGGAACAATATTTCTCTTATAAAAAACTATTTACAAGTTTATAAATTAATTTTTAAAAATATTATCTACCATATTATATAAACCAATTTTAAAATCAACCATAGAAAATATATATTAATTAATTAAATTACAAGTTAAATAATTGAAGGTTTATGTATTGATCAAATTTTTAATCGATCCTAAAATAGTTGAATATTATAATTATTTTAGAAAATATTTCGGTTTGAATATATTAGTATATTCAACTCATCTAAAATATATTGAAATTATTTGAAAACATCTGTTATATATTTAATAAATAAAAATAAAATATCTTCTTTAATTCAACTATCAACAATTTTAAATCAAAAATTATAAAATGATTACAAATACATTGAAAGTGCTTAAAAAATGTATGAGGATTGAAGATTGGTAGAAAGTGGAGAAGGTGGGTTGGAAAATATGGGAATAAAAAAACTAAAAACTCATTTCCTTTGATGCTAAGTTTTCTCCTTTCCAAGTTCCAACACCAACACAAAAATGTTTGCGCCTCTTCTTCAACCTTTAATTCACGTGCCCAATTCTAATATTCAAATCCATCCATGTAAACCAATTCAATGCCACCACAAACACATTTTAAATGTGTCACATTTTCGCAACAGATTTTTCATCCAAACACAATATATTTCATTACTTTTTTTTTATCTTATGAAAGTTACCCATATAACCAATCTAAATGATCCTTAAAACTTGATTTGTTGTTAGTTATATCATTTATCAACCACTGTGAAATAAAATTAAGACACGTCATCACAAAAAATTGAGCCTTATGAAAATAAAATATAATATTTCTTTATGATTTGTTACATATTTTAGCTTTTAAAATTTAAATTTAATTTTATAATTATAAAAAATCACGGAATAAATTGAACCCATCTTGTATAAAATAAGAAATGTGTATAAGAGTTAATTATTAGATTAAATAAATATAATTTAATAATAAATATTTGAAGAAAAAAATGAAGTTATTGGACTCATAATGATCCAAATGAAGAGAATATAGAATTATGAATTAAAAAAAATTAAGTTATTGGACTCATGATCCAAATGAATAGAATATAAAAGCCCAACTAACAACAAAAAAGTTAAAAATATAAAAAAAAACGCCCACCGTGGGGCTCGAACCCACGACCACAAGGTTAAGAGCCTTGCGCTCTACCAACTGAGCTAGACGGGCTTTTGGTATAAGTTTGTACAATTTTAATATACCTTCTTAATTTTAATTTTACTTATTTGTTTATACAATAAAACTATTTTAATTACTCACTAGATTTTAAATTCATGTAATTAAGTATGTAAACTGATTTTATTACTTCTGAAATAGTAAATTAACTATACCTATTGTAAATTAAAAGCATTATTACTTATATTTTTAATTGATAAATATTTAATAAAACTAAACCTATTAATTTTATTAATATTTATTTTTTAAGCAATAATAGCAACAAGATATATATATGAAATGTATAAAATTGAAAAAGTAGTTAATATGAATATGAATATTAATATTATTAGTAGTAGTAGATTATCAATTCATTTTTCAAATAAATATAATTAAAAAAATAAAAATAAAGAACAAGAATAAAAGTTGTAATAAAAATAATGATCTCTAGATACTGGTAGGTTTATGGATAAAAATAAATACAATTCTATTATTTATTATTATTTGACACATTTTGGTGTTATATATTACAATAACATTTTTTCAAAAAACAAATAATATCATATTATGTCATAATGTATTGCACTGCAAATTTGTTTCATAATTCTGTATTATAATTTATAAACACACTTTTGTATAAAATTACAAAATATAATTACAAATGTTTATTTCATAATTTAAATTATTCGCTATTTGAATAACAATAATAAAGCATGATAATTATAATAATTAAAAACTACCCTAATAATAATAAATAAATAAATAAAAACATGATAATTAAAACTATTCACTATTTCGTATAAGGTATAGCCAATTAAAAATTCTTGTTATTTTTCAGATCTCCTTCTCATCATGTCATTTTTTTTCTTCCTCTAATCGCAACCTTAAAAAAGAGGGTAATATTGTAATTTTAAGAAGTCAAAGTAAAATTGAAATTATTAACTTTTTATTACGAAACATGAGAAAGAGTAATTATATACATTATTTAATTTGTTTGCACAATGTTTTTCTTTCAAATAATTATGAACAAGTGTACAAAATAACAAAGATAACCATCATCAATCTCAATAAAAAGAATTACCCTAAAGTTATTAACAACAAACTTGAACTTTATTTGTTAAAGTAATTTAATTTGATAATAAACTTAAGATATTAATTCAATTATTTAGTTGAAATTGTCTTCACCTTCAATTCACAGATTCAATTTCTTGCACGGTTTTTAGGTGATTTAGCCAAATGCGACAACTTTTATGACAATGAGTTTAAGGATGTCACATATGATAATTGTTTCTGACAAGGGAACCTGTCTATGTACTTATAGACATGGATAATACAAAACCTTTAATAAAAATCATTTATTTAAAGTCAAATATATTTGTAGTATGCAAAATTGATATTTTTTTTGTTTCATACTTTTAATATATAGCATTGAATAAAGTCTTAATTTTACTTTCGAATTAATGTCATTAACAATCTCATTTTCATAAAATCACGTGTCAACATATAAATCATGTAATGATTACATGTTAAACTCTGTTAGTTTAAAAGAAATAATGTTAATGTCAATAATAAATTGAATATTGAGTATAAAAGAATTAAAAAAAAAGTTATAGAAATACCAATTTCAATGCGTGTAAATTTTGGAGATACAACTCTTATATTGATTTTTCTACATATATATTAATTTTTTTTTAAAAGAATAAGTATTTTACAATAGAATGATTTTTATGAGTGATCCATAAAATTCATTACCCATAAAATATAACTGAAAAAAAATTATAAAAAAAATTGAGTTTTTAAGAAGAATTCAAATGACATAAAAAAATGATGACCATAACTCCAAAACCTTTATTTGCTATTAAAAAAAAAAGGAGAGCTCCAATAACTTGGTCAAAGTTTAAAAACCTTATGATTCTCGTTGAGTTAATTGGGACCCATGAGATCGTACAATCTAAGAATAAAGGGTGGAGATGTTAGCATCCCCACCACAAGAACAGTGGGCGTCCGTGCACGGTAGCTATCCTCCACAATTGCACCACTGAAGCCAAAACTTGCTTCACATATCAATCGAACACTTTTCAGTAATTTTCTGCCCTCTAAAATAATTAATTATATTTTATTTTATCTCATTAAAACATAGGTTATTCTAAAAAAATTCAATCAAATCGAACCGTCCAATCCCGCTGAATCGACGGCTATAAAACTAATCCAATTTATTTTTGGATGCAGGTAATTCAATAATCAAATTAACATTTCTTAATTTTAACAAAAAAAAATTTAATAACTTCTTATCAATGTCACATTATAAATAAATGAATAAATAAATAAAAACAAAAAAGAATAATTATTTCTTATCAATGTCACATTATAAATAAATAAATAAAACCTCGTGTACTGTGTCTCAGCAAGTACTCAAAAGCTTTCTTCTCTCTCTATACATTTCTCTCTCATCCTCGTCCATGGATTCTTCGTTCTCTGCGTGATCGTTTCGGAACCCTAATTCGACCCTGACGATCCCTTCACGCGCAGATTCAAGAAATCTGCATAGTGTGGATCGTTTCAAGACGGTTCTTGCCTTGTGTCACATTTTGCTCGGTCCGCTTGCTGTTTGGTATTTTGTTATTTGGCGAAATCGGCACGATTCTTGGAACTTCTTTGAGGTCTTCGGTGAATTTTGAGTGTCTGACTTTGGTCGGAGGCGAAGCGGCGTTTGGGAAACGTGGAAATTTCTACAATTTCGAATTTTCTTTCCTCGGTCGGAATTTGCGCGAGGAGGATGAGATTTGAAGGATGAACGATGCCGGTGCTGCGTAACGGAGCGCGCAGGGGCCGGGGAGCAGCGAAGCAGCAGGCGCGGCAGCAGGTTCCAGTGGCGGAAGGGGAGGCGATTGCGACGAGGACCCGAAGGCGGCGGGCGGCGGCGGCGGCAGCAGCAGTGCCGAAGAGTAATAACAACAACAACGACAATAATAATAACAAGCAGCAACAGCAGCATCAGCCGGAGCAGGTGCTGGTGGTAAATGAAAACTTAGTTGTTGCGGCGAAGGAAGAAGAGAATCGGGGATTGGGGGAAGGTGTTGGTGCGGGTGGAGCGCAGAGGGAAGAGGTAGGGGAGAAAGAGATGGTTGGAAATGACAGTGGAGGTCGGAGCAATGATAAGGCCAATGCTGGTGAAGATGACGCCAATACTCCTCAGGTTCCTCAGAAGGTCTGATCGTTATTCTTTTTTTCTCACGTGTTTTTACTACTGGACGGAGGAATATCATGAAAGTTTTGTATTTAGGTGTTGGGTGTTGTGTGGATCGGTGTTTTGTTACAACGGCATTATTGTATTGGTAATGGTAATCCTGCGAGGAAAATTAGGACATCATTTTCTTCGAAGACTTATGTTTGGCTGACTTTGCATTTTTGGGTTAGATCATTGAAAAGTTGTTTAGAGTTTTTTAGTGGTAGGATTTACCTTTTTATTGTTAAGTCTTGAATGTGATTGTCCCTTGCTTGTGGAGCACAGGCTCTGATGCTTTTTTTAAATTAAGGAATCTGCCTGAGAGCTGGACTCCTTTCTTACAGATAATATATGATCATTACTTCATAAGTTGGTTATTGAAAATTGACTAGACATTTTGTAAGGTAGAAGTAGGAATCATGGATGACAATTTTCATTTCTCTGCAGTGTAGTAGTCTTCTATTTTCCCTTACCTACTCATCTAATTTGTAATTTATTTGTTTCTGACAAAACATTTTTTACGTGTGTTGATGTGAGCACTCTATTTTGATTTTCTTTTAGTACATATCATCTTTGACACATGTCAAATACACTCATAATTATGTCATTTTTCTTCAAATACGCATAAGTTGTATATTATTGCATATGTAGAAAGCGAGTTACGTTCAAGACCGATTCAGAAAAAAAACCCTAGTTATGCCACAGTTGTCTGTATGTTTTGCTTTTACATGCTCTCGTTTCAACCTAGTCTTTCTATGAAAGAATCCACTGCCTATACAATTTATCCATACATACGAAAAAAATTACTATTTCAATTATAACGTGAATAGTCAATATTTTTTATGTTGGTATGTGTTTGTCTGTGCTACATATTTGTTTAGATTTTCATCCTAATACCTATGACTCTACTTTCTGAAATTTATCTGGCACTGCTTAAAATTAGTTTACATTTCATGGCCTCAGGTATGATTTTTGCACTGGGAATAGTATATTATGATCTTTTTGTCCAATGTTACATTCTTCCTTGTTAGAGAGTGAAGGTTGGAATGAAATAGTGGATGCAAACCAAATAACATGTTTGGTTGGCTGTATAACTCCAGCAATTTGAAAAGTCACTCTTCAATAAATTAAAAAAGAGCATTCTTATCAAAACACAGTTGTTTAGCACTCTCTACAGAGGGTCATATGAATTTGTTTTTTTTATCCTGTTAGTTTTCCCACATTTATCTTTAGTCATGCTGTCATATATTTCAATAAATGTTCAGTTTTCCTAATTGAATCTTGGACATTATGAAGCATAAATATGCATGATAACATCTTCTGCTGACACTTGTATCCTAATTTTGTTCTCTCCTGCCGACAGATTCAAGTTAGTAATTCACCTTGTTATAAAGTAGAAAGAAAACTTGGCAAGGGTGGATTTGGTCAGGTATATCTTGGACGACGTTGTACTGGTCATTTGAATGAGAGAACTGGACCTGGAGCTGTAGAGGTATGTGTATCTTTTCAGTATTAAATATGAAAATTTATAATTAAGTTTTAAATTTCAGATATTCAGATTGTTAGTTATTTGATCAGGTTGCATTAAAACTTGAGCATAGAACTAGTAAAGGGTGTACGTATGGACCTCCCTACGAGTGGCAAGTGTACAAGTGAGTGCAATTATGTCTCCTTTTTACAGTCTTCCTTTATTTCTTCTTTTTTTAGATTATGCCATTCATCATTTTTCTTTCCCTATTATTACAGCACTCTCGGTGGCAGTCATGGTGTGCCACAAGTACACTATAAGGGCCGGCAGGGTGACTATTATGTCATGGTATGTTGTTAAATCTTATTCTTTACTGTTTGTTCATTATTACAAATATTATTTTGATGTATGATTCAGTATTTCTTTTATTAGAGATTGCCTTGGTTAAAATTTGTTTGTTTGACTTTGAGAAATTAATTTGTGCAGGTTATGGATATACTGGGACCTAGCCTGTGGGATGTTTGGAATAATAACTCTCACTCGTAAGTCCTCGAAATTATGTCGGATATGAATAAAATTATATTGTTTGTTACTGATTTTAAATTAAAGTTTGTGTTCTAATGTGTTTTTGGGAATTCCAGCATGTCCTCTGAAATGGTTGCTTGTATTGCCATTGAAGCAATATCTATATTGGAAAAAATGCACTCTCGAGGGTAATTTTCATGCACCCACACTGAATAATTTCCATATATAAATTACTTGAACTCTTGATAATGTTTTATATATATATATATATATATATATATATATATTTGTATCCGTTAAGCATTCAATATTTGCCAGAAACTTCTCGTAAAGCTATATCTTTTGTTTGTGTGTGTGTGTGTGTGTGTCTCTCTCTCTCTCTCTCTCTCTCTATATATATATATATATATATATGTTGTTTCATCATGCTTGAAATTATGTTCCTTAAAACTGTATGGTTATATTATATGGCAGGTATGTGCACGGGGATGTGAAGCCTGAAAATTTTCTGCTTGGTCCTCCTGGGACGCCTGATGAGAAAAAATTGTTCCTTGTAGATCTTGGATTAGGTATGATTTAGTTGTCAACTTACTTTTTATTTTTTATTATTATTATATTTACATATTTTGGTGGTACTATATCACACACTTCCTTTGCTGTTTTGGGCTTTACAGCTACTAAGTGGAGGGATATTACAACAGGCTTACATGTTGAATATGACCAAAGGCCAGATGTTTTTAGGTAATTGTTATTGAATTTGGATCATTTAGAAAATATTTATACAGTTTTCTGTATTGATATTAATAACTTGGGAAATATTTCAGAGGCACAGTCCGCTATGCTAGTGTGCATGCACATTTAGGGAGAACTGCAAGCAGGAGGGATGACTTGGAATCTCTTGCATATACATTGATTTTTCTTCTCCGAGGTCGCCTTCCTTGGCAGGGATTCCAGGTTGAACATATTAAAATAACTTTTTTTTTTTTTTTAATGTTCAGAATGTTGGTCTCTAACATTATTTTCTCAGGGAGAAAACAAAGGATTTCTGGTTTGCAAGAAGAAGATGGGAACCTCTCCAGAGATTCTTTGCTGCTTTTGTCCCCAACCTTTTAAGCAGTTTGTTGAACATGTTGTGAACTTAAAGTATGATGAAGAACCTAATTATGCAAAATACATTTCTCTATTTGATGGGATTGTTGGTCTTAACCCAGATATTAGACCAATTAATACAGATGGTGCACAAAAGGTATCAATTTTGCCATCCCTTTACAGTTGTGTTGTTTTATGCATTCCAAGATTGTAATAAAGATCTTGACATTGCTTTATGCATTCAAAGATTGTAGTTAAGATACTTGATATTGCTTACTTTGTTGTCTGAAGCTCATTGGTCATAAGAGAGGCCGGTTGGCCATGGAAGAACAGGACGATGAACAACCAAAAAAGAAGATCCGTATTGGTTTGCCAGCATCCCAGTGGATAAGTGTTTACAATGCTCGTAGACCAATGAAACAAAGGTACACATTCATACGACATGAAGTTTGTTCTGTCATTAGTATGATAATTTCTATTTCAGGCATTTTAAACTGATTCATAGTGTGGAGAGCGTGGTTCTTCTTCCCTGCCATCTTGTGGAATCCTGTTTTTTTTTACAACCTTTTGTGTGTATTCGTTGTGTTGTATGTTCGGCTTACACTCTGGATTTCACTTTATAATCTTAGGAATTATATGCTACGAATTATCCACCTCTTGAAATTATTAATGTGAGGGAGTCGTTGTGCATTGGGAATGATTGTGTTTTGTATTGCAGATATCACTACAATGTATCAGATGCAAGGTTATCCCAGCACATTGAGAAAGGAAATGAGGATGGCTTGTATATTAGCAGTGTTGCTTCATGTCAGAACGTATGGGCATTAATCATGGATGCAGGGACAGGTTTCGCTGGCCAAGTTTACGAACTCTCACCCTTTTTTCTCCATAAGGTAAATTTCAATCCATTGCTTTTATTTTGCTATTTGGTGGATTGTTTAGAACTTAGAAGACATGCTTGCAACACATTTTTCAACAAACCTACAACTCACCCAATAATGAGTAATTTATTTCGAAGTGTTAGAAAGTATATAGCTAGCTTTGCTAGTGATTTTCTTTCATGGTTGTAGTATGTAGATGTTAATATGTAGTCTTAAGGCATGCTTATTAACTGGGGACACTCGGTTTTTGGTTACCTGAAGGAATGGATCGTGGAGCAATGGGAACTAGGCTACTACATCAGCGCAATTGCTGGAGCTGCAAATGGGAGCTCGCTAGTAGTAATGTCTAAGGGTTAGGTCCTCTAAAAAGTTTATATATCGAGTATGTCGATGTGAAATTTTCAATTTGTATTCTGCTGACTATGACCTTGGATTCCAGGCACACAGTTTGTGCAGCAATCGTACAAAGTTAGTGATTCATTTCCTTTCAAGTGGATTAACAAAAAGTGGAGGGAGGGATTTTACGTGACTTCAATGGCCACCTCAGGACCGAGATGGGGAGTGGTCATGTCTCGTGGTGCTGGATATTCAGACCAGGTCATTATCCTGTCAGTAGTGTAGTTCAAGAATCATAATGCAAGTTGATAGCGTGAATAACATTATTGTTTATTTGAATTTCAGGTGATTGAACTAGACTTTCTGTATCCTAGTGAGGGGATTCACAAGCGATGGGATAGCGGATATCGAATCACAGCCACTGCTGCAACTTGGGACCAAGCTGCTTTTGTCTTGAGTGTACCAAGGAGGAAGCCTTCAGATGAAACTCAGGAAACACTCAGGACTTCTGCTTTTCCAAGTACACATGTCAAGGTCTGGAATATTGCACTTTTTGCCTCTGCCTTTTGTTTTTACAGTTAATTAAGGTCTCATATATACATGCTTGGTTTTACAGGAGAAGTGGGCTAAGAACCTCTACATTGCTTCTATTTGCTACGGACGTACAGTTTCTTGAATCTTTAAGTGGTGGATGCCCCAAGAAATTTTGATGGCCAAAGTTTTAATTATTTGTATGTAGCAGGAATGAACGCCTTCACTCAAACTAAACTAAAATACCCCCAATTTGCCATTCGTGTGGAAATTGTTTCTCTATCAATGATTAGTTCAACATCAGTGTCTTAGCACCAATCACATTTTCCTACGACGTTAACTTATTTGCAGACGCACGAGTTTTTTTTTTCACCAATAATGTGTTTAACTTTTTAAATACAAATAAGAATATTATTAAAAGTCAAGTATCAGTTCTACTGTCTTAGTAAATAAATATATTTTTTTAAAGCCAATAATATATATTTTGAAATTATAAAAAAAATTAGGAGGCCAAGAAATTAAGAAATATTAATGATAATAAATTCAAATAACAAGTAGGAGGATAAAAAATATTCATCAAAGAGGAACAATTATTTTTCTCTTTAGTTATTAAATATTTGATTTGAGGAGTTAAATGTTATTGGTCGAATTTGTAAATAACGCTAACAAAATTTCTCCACTTTAGACAAAATCCAGCCTTATATGTTTGGAACATAACTTGGTATCAACTTTTAAAGCTATTTTTGTTATTCTTTCATCTTTTAAAGGTTTTATTCTAGCACCTATGTGATTCTACATTGATCAACTTTTAGATCTAGGGATCTAACAGTAAAATCTGTATAAAATAATGAGATTGTGATCAATTAGATTTATGAAATAGTGAAAATTATAGAAAGAATAAGAATGCCAATAATGTTAACAACTTTAAGTGATTTAGGTTTTAAGAAGTCTATCCTACCAAAGATAATAAAGACATTATTTAAAAAAAAAAAAAAAAAAAAATATATATATATATATATATATATATATATATATATAAATTTTTCCAACTAAAATAAGGATAGAAATGATATTTAATCGTAATTATTTATTGTGTTCAAATAAATAATTTTCTATTTTATAAATAAGTTAATATATTTTGATAAAAATAGAATTTAAAAGAATTATTTTATAAAATGGACGTGTTATAATTAAGTTTCATAGTATTCAATTCAGTATTTTTTTAAAATAACGAAATTCTGTAGTATTGATTTTTTTTTCAACTAATAAAAAGTGTGATAAATATTTAAAAGTTCACAAATTTTATTAAACTTTATTTTATGAATTTTAATTGACTTTTTAACAGAATATAAGAACTACACTATCAAATAACTACTCTTATAAAACTGCTTTTTCTCTCATCTAACACAACTATTGTATTCATTTTGAATGCAAAATAGACAGATACAAAACTATAACCATAATTTTTAATATTGTTCAATCAACAAAAGAAAAGTGCACGACATGTTAATGCATAAAATCTGAAGATATCATGTTGATTTTATTTTATTTAGAAAAATCTGATAGATGATATCGTCCCTGTATAATCTTTTGTAATCCAAAATATTTTCTTATATCAATAATTTAAAAAAAAAAAAACTCAATCCAATATACTATTAAACAATTTTTGGTATTTTAATCAATGTTTATAGCATTACAAAAAATAGACCAAAAAAATAAGTCATTTAAAGTTCCCTTACTTGTTTTTAGATCAAAATGTTGCATTCTTTTATCCCCACAGGGACTCTATGGGATTTAGGGAGAGATTCAGAGAGGGACTTTGGGTGCGATCAAGGGCAAGAACTGGGTAGACAGCAGATTCTTCTTCTGTAGGTCTACAACATAACCTGTTCCAAGAAACTCCTTCCTGGCAAAGACATATATGAAACAAATTAGGAAGTGTTAATATCCAGAATTTAACTAACAAAGGACCACAAAAAGGAGCAAAAATTGATAACTCTAAACGTTCATGACCAGATCATCATTCTGGATAAAAGGAAGAAAAGAGATCAAATGTCACCTCACTGTGGTCATGGACATATCGAACAATGAAGGTGCACGTACACTCTGTTGGATCATGTATCCTCCTCTTGATTTTCACAACCCGAGCATCACAATAGAGAGCATAATCGTCTCTTTCCTGTGAAAAACCAAAAAAGGCCTAATGAGTTTTAATAGTTAAGGAAGTTATTGAGTAGCTAAAAACCAAATAAATAAATGCCCTATTTGTGTCACATCCATAGATTAAGAATGTGCAGACCAGACCAGAATTTAAGCATAAAACTGGTGACGGCTGATCAAAGAATCGGTCGAGAACAGATCAAAAGTCTTTTCTTGCTCAAATAGAAAGTAAATTTTTTTTACATGATTTCTAATCATGATTTGTTATAATCTTAGCTTATTATTATTGATTTTTAATCCAACAAAACATATATGATCTAATAATTTCTTATGATTTTACTCTCATGTCAAATCAATAAACCGTGAACCACTGTCTTCACACAAGTTTAATTAGATGTCCAATTCTGCTAAACTTTAACCATGTGGCTACTGGGAAAACACATTGGAGAGATAAATCGAAGCACAATAAAAGATACCAGGGTTCCCTTACCAAGAAACAGAGCACAAGATGTCCATCCTGAACCTTGTGACACTCTGAAGATGCTAATGGGATAGATCTCTCCCGCACCCCCTGTTTCACATTCACCCACTCATCCTGCTCTTTACCAAATCCAGCATATCGGACACGGACTTCCTAAATTGTGTGTGACAAGATCAATTATTTGGTTGTCCACAATATAAAATAAAATGCATCCACTAATTTGAAGATGCCAAGCTAGGAATATAAAATTATCCATATATACAAGAAAGTTTTCTCACTTTTGCAGTCTTTCCCATTGAAGGAAAGGAAACTGTCCGTAACAACATACAATGCAATTAAATAAGATTTAGCTTTATAGATCTCACTGGAACAGTATTAATTGATTAAAAGTGCAAGTCAATTTCAGCTTTCAAGAAGCATTTTACTTTGAAGGGGATATTTTTTCTAAATCACTTCCTAATAAAACCCCAAAGGATGAGAAGAACAGGGTATGCTCAAGGATCAAATCAATGTGTATCCGGATTTGAACCTTCACCAACACTTGCTTACGTTAATTATAAGTATGGCAGTTACATAGATGGGAAAGTTTCAAAGATGGAGCAAGATGTATGAAGATGTGAAATAGAAATTGGCAAGGAAGAAGGGGCAGGGACATAGAGGCACATAAATATGAAGCAATAAAAGAAATTCAGTTGGATGACCAATTTAATCATGAAAAATCTGTCACTAAGTAGGAAAAAGTTTGGTTGTTCTTGTTGTATTGTACTATTACATACAATTTTAGATGCAAGGGAAGAAAAACTTCATGTACAGCCATTGTGTGTTGCAAATACAAACCTAGAAAAGTAATCATGATATGACATCTCTATATATATGTGTGTGTGGATACATATGTATATTTAAACAAATAATTATAGAGCAGCAACTTGTAGATACATATTTTAGGTAAAATGTGGCAAGCATCAAAGAAAAAGTCACTCCTTTTCTTATTACAAATTCTGAAGACAATGTCTGAGTTTCTCGCTCAACCTAAAACATATAAGTAAGAATAAAAAAGAATCTTACAAGTTCGCCTGAGCACATAACTCTGTAGTTAAGGAACAATTCAACATCATGCCTATAATTGAAAAAAGCAAAAATAAGATGTCGGGCAGAGAGTATATAAGAAACTAACAATAAAGTGATAGAAACGAATGAAATTTCATTTATAAACTCTAAATCTCAATTGCTGTGGCAATGGAGTAGCAGCCTTAGGCTAGGGTAGAAGATACAGAGTGAAAGATTTCCCTAGATATTTGAGAGACAAGGACTCTCCCTGTACAATAAGACTCTAATACTTTCTAACATGATAAGATGATTTCCCTTTTAACCTCCCCTCTTTAATTATTCATATGCCTTATATGTTCTACTGTCTCAATATCCCAACTAACCTAAGTAACAGAACTCCTCACTAAGACAGTAACACACCCCTAACTAAGTTACTAATGGATATCTATCATAAAGGCTTTCCCTTTCACAGAGGAGACATGAGATCTATGGCTAGTATTTCTCCGATTGAAAATAAACAAACAAAATCATGCCACACCTTATAATTATCATGTAATCCATAAAATGCATTTTATGACTAAACTCAGAAAATACAGCTGCATGTTAATTAAATTACTCCTCACCATGCAAAATCTTTTGTAGATCTTGCTTCAAATGTCAATTCCGAGATATCGGTAACTTGTTTACCTGATATTAAAAACAAAAATGATCAAGGTTATCAAATCAACAATCAAAGACGTATGTTTATAATTTTGTATCGAATAATAAGATTCAGGTAGAATGAAAAATTACATCAAATATATTATATAATGAAAATAATTTAAACAAACAATAGACAAACAACGTAGGTAAGAGTCATATCAAACAAAACTATTAACTATATCTAAGTTTGTGAAGTCTTTATTTGAGAAGAATGGAAACAAAACAAATAAATAGCTAAATAGTGTGCATGCATTGAATTAGCAAGAAACAAATAAAGAAAGAATAATCAAATTGGATAAGTTCAAAAGTGTTCTCTAAAATTCCTTTTCAAGAAAAATTTAACCTCACCTGACTTTTTTAATTTGTTTCATGAGAATTGGTTAAAAAGTAAAATCATATGCATGGATTCATTCATGTGTCTTAGGACACAAATTTATTTAAGATTCACCTTGCGATATATGAATCAGTAGATATTTAAAATGGATCAAATAGTTGGATTTGAATCATGAATAGTAAGATTATGATAACTGAAAACTATAATTAAACCATGGAATTATTAATGCCAAGTTGAACTTAGGGCATGACTACTAATCATCATTAATAATTAATACTGATAACTGTTATTATTACTACTATCACTATTTTTAATACTGATAACTGTTACTATTACTACTATCACTATTTTTAAGATTTTTTTAGTTTTGCATCAACATCATTATTTTTTAGGTGTGCCAACACTTGACCTCAAAGTTTCCACAGCCACATAGAGTTAAGTATAAACTATTGCACTTTATTAACAACAACTATTACTAACACCATGGAAATAATTGCTATGAATCAATACATAGCATAACAATATCATTTTCAATGAAACATGGAACTGGACATTAAATGTTGCCACTTTTTTTAATACAAAAAGAATGAAAAATCATACAGCAGAGTAGGAATGCTATTATTCAGAGACATGGTCGAAATGGAATCTACAAAATAACTCAGAATCATGATAATAGCAGTATTTATTCCAACAAACTAGGCTTCTGCCGTTGAAACATTCAACCCAAATCAAGTGAACCCTTTATCCCCTAAGAAAATGCCTGCATGTGTAGACTTCAAGCACATAGTTTTCAGATCAAGGGGACTATAAATGTAAACATGTTCCAATGACAAAGGAAAAACTTCATTTTTGTATCCAGGGATTTTTTTTTTCTTCCTTTTACAAGTTTATAGCCATGATAAAGTATATGGAAAAATGAATAACCTTTTGAACTTGAAAGATCAGCAGATAGTTGCAGCAGGTTGGATGATGAACTATCTTTATTCGGTGATACTCTCTGTCTATTCTTGAACCACTGCTCCACCTAAAACCAGTGAAACCAACACAACATTATAACACACAACATAAATAACAAATGTGCCTAAAGGATGAATAAATTTATTTGACAACCTGTTGCCATGATAAGGAAGTTTTACCAGCACCATTTGACAAAGCACTACAAAATTAAAGCAAGTAAATTTATGAATATCATTTACAAACCAAACACACAAATCCTAATTATGCTGAAGATATGACTTAATTCACCTAAAACTTGTAGCAATCTCCTGGCACAACATCCAATCAAGTGGTTTTTCTCCCATATCTTTGTATATTCTTTCCAATTCCAGTATCTAGGAGGGGCGAGGAGCATATGAAGTGTGCATGGATTAGCCAATAAGTGTGAAATGATGCAATGACAACACATAATTAAAGAAAACAAAACATTCTAAGATGTATATGGTGATTACCTCATCTGAAGAGAGCTTTGGAAATGGTGGTCCAGTAGTTAAACCTATTGAATCCATCTTTCAGGAGAGAACAAAATTTTCCCAGAGAAAGATGAATTGCCAAAATGAAAAAAAAAATAAAAAAAAAATCTCCTTTTCCCTTTATGCTTGCTCTATAGTCTCAACACACCTTTTATACAAAGGATTGAAGTCACTGTCATATATTATGCATTTAAAAGCAAAGCACTAGGGTAAAAATAAAAATAAGAATTTAGAATCCATTCAACTGCATAGGCAAGAAAACATAAAAGAAAAACTCAATCCCTCACACTCCACCGGGCTTTCATCATCGTTCCGTTAAAACATAAGACAAGCAGGTAAATAGAATAGTGGCACATTCAAAATTTGTCACCTAAAAATTAGATATTATTCCCTGCAAGGCTAAACCAAAATTAAGGGCAAATATTTCATAAAACCCTAAGCATTGAATTGATGTGATACCTAGCAGCGACACTAGAATATGGTGTTAAAAGCAAAGGAATTACTAACCTTTTGGCAGCGCTCATTGGTTCTGGTATGTAGAGGTGGAAAATTGAAGTAAAATGCAGAGCACAATTCTCTGTTCCAATGCAGAACATAAAGAATTTTGGTGTGGGATATTTATTTTAAAAGAACATACTCTTTGGTCATTTTGGTAATAATCCTTTTCTATTATACAATATAAAATATTATTAATATGCTATAAAATTTATATTTTAGGTTAAAAAAATAATTGAACTTTGTTCATAAAACTGTTTAATTTAATAATTTTAAAATATTAAAGTATATAATTCATTGACATAATATATTTTATAAGTAGTATGTAAATGAGATTAGGGGGAGTAAAGAAAAAATATAGCACAATGAGACAAGTGTATGAAAATTTGAAAATTTGAAAATTTTTCTAGCTAACAAAGTAAATATAAAAATATATAATTAATATATGCTAGAGTGAAAATATTTCAATATTTTTTATTAAATTTATATGTCAAAATAATAGTGTTTATTATTTGAGCACACACAAAATATATCATTGAAATATCATTTGTACCTCTATCTTAATTGGAAAAATAAATTCACTACCAACCTTTCTTTTTAATATAATAAAAATAAAAATAAAATTTTATAAAATTTTTTAAATAAAAGTATTGTTTACCATTTTTAATTTATAGTTATAAATTTATCATTTTATAAGTAAAGAGTGATTAGAAACAATGTATTATAAATAAAATTATTTTATATAATTTTTAAATAGTGTATAGATAGACAAAATTTACTTTACATATAATTTTAATATGTTATAATTAGCAATTCTGAAATAATAAAACATGTTTTATGATTAGTTTTCTATAGAGAAAAGTTTTGTTTATGATACATTAGAATTTTTTTTTTTTACAATCATATATAATTACAATATCAAAAGTGATATACGGATAACAAATTATAAAAGTCTAAATAAATTATGGTTATTTTGATATAAATTAAATGTTTAAAATAAATTATTGAATAAAAAAATATAATTATCAATTTATATTAAATTATAAACATATTGTTTTATCAAATTATGTACCTAAAATAATTAATTATTTTAAGTCAAGATATTTTGTTATCTTAATTAATATTTTATTTTTTTAACTTAAAATTAATTATAATTATTAATAATTTTTTAACAGTTACAAAATGTCAAAGATTTAATGCTAATTAACTTTTTTAGAGGCTAAAAGCATAATGATTTATATTTATAAGGAGTATAAATATGTTCATATTAAAAATTTATTAAAAAATTAAAATTAGTATCTGGTATTTATTGTATTATTAATATTTATTATTATTTTAATCAAAATATATTAATTTATTCTGTGCGTGTTATATTAATCCATATTTGGTTATACATTAAAATGATGTAATAAAAATTTAAATCACACAGCGGACAGACTTGTTGTGACAATGATAAGTTTTGCTTATATATTGGAGAGAATTTGACTGAGTTTTATTTTCTCAAATCTTGAAACTTTTTTCAAGTGGGTTCGTTTACAAGAACTTAATTGAGAAGATGCTTCGGAATCCACTGTAAAACTCATGGTCAAAGCAAGAAACCCAATTGTCATTGTTTTGAATGAAGTTGAAGCAAAAGTATACACACTCAGAGAGACAAAAATGGTAAAAGAAAGTGTAGAGTGTAGTAAGAGGGAAGCAGTAATGGAGCTTATGAGTGGAAAGTGTACAAGTGTTGGTGAATTGAAGGTGTGGGGTATATTTTGCTATTGATTAATGAAGTTTTTTGCAGAGAAAAATGATGAGATGGTACAGAAGGGGCAGAATTAAAGCCAAGATGGCTTGCTGGGAAAGTGAAATGGTTTTACCCCTACTGGTTTCAAAATTGTTCTTGGTGTTCTGAGTAGAATAGAGGAAAGCCATTGAAATGCTCTCTTCATTCTCTGCGCTAAAGAATGGTCTTCCAATCACATGTTTGTACTTTCCACCACTCAATTTCTGCACCCAAACAATATGAACCTCAATTGTAAGAGAATAAAATAGTATGTAATTGTTATGCATCATCATTGTTGTATTGGTAAAAAAACTGACCTGGGTTTGATCTCCAGCAGTAACTATAAGGGCACCTGGTTGAGGGCAGAAAGAGAGCCAAGTTTTCTTGGAGTAAAGGTGAAAATGTGCAGAGCCATTGCAGACATGGAAGCACAATGAATGAGAGTAATCTGTTCCCCTAATCAGCATCCTAATCACATCATATTTCAAGGAATTAGCCCATCCATCGCTGCTGTTATCACCATGATGCTTACAAACGCAACAGAGAGTCCCACTCTCATTCCCACCCACAAATTCTATGCTTCTGTTTTTCAATATCACAGGCAACAATTTCATACCCACCATCTCTATGCGTGACATAAGCTTTTCCATCTTTTCGCTGCATGTTCAACCAGATCAAATTTAGTAACTTTAACTTGCAATCATATACAAATGCGAGGTGTTAGAAATACACTTTAAAAAATACACAAGATATTCAATGAAAATGAATACTTTATTTTAAAACACTTCATTAAAATTAGTCTAGAATGTATAATTAGAAAATTGGTCCAATGGATACAAAATAAATAAGAATATGTTCAAAATTAACTTCCCTATAATAATTTAAGAAGACAGAAACAGGAACACCAATTATTGTTATAATTGTGTTTCAATTTCCTTAAAAGATTCGTAATATATCTTATTCCTTATATAAATTGTTTACCAAACTTAACAAACTATACATACGACAATAATTCAATCACTAAATCATAAATTGAAGAGGATTTAAAAGTTTAATTAAATTATATTTTATTATATTTAATAAAACAATTATTTTTATTATATATTAATAAAATAAATATATAATAAATTTATTATTAATAATATTTTTTATAAAATAAAAAAATAATTACAACAATAACAAATGTAGTTATTTGCTATAAATAATAATTAAGATTAAAAAATATAAAATATAATAAAAAATGAAAAACTAATAGTCTTAAAATAAATATTATTTGAAATTAATATCATTCGTATAATATTATTTTAAAAAATTTAATTATTTTTTTAATTGAATCAGTTTAATCTAAAAATCTAATTGATTTTTTTTTACGATTTTATATCAATTTACACCAATTTAATTATTTAAAAATATTCAATCAATTTTTAAATTTATCTTATTAAACTGGTTGAACTCACTTAAAACAATGATTAAATATATTATATTCACTAAAAATATAGACAAAATTAACAGGACAATAAGTAAATATATTATACTAAATAGAAGCACAATTTGAACTACAATAATAATAAAAAAAACTCTTTATGTATGTATGTATATGGATTCTTATAAATAAATTATTAAAGTAAAGTAATAACAAAAATTAAAATTTTCCCATTTTCAATCAATGAATTATTTAAATATCATATGACATTAAAATGAAGAAATTCACGATAAAATATATTGAATTGGTTTAATTAAAAATGCATATTAAATAATATCTTTATGCTATGTGAAACCTAAAATAAAAATTTGACGAGAAATGGATCAATTCATGCCAAACATTTGTTAAATATAAAATATAAGGTTACGTGAATAATTAATAATATATATAATTAATATAATATTATAATGTAACCTGAAATTTGGATATCCAGTTGGCCAAATTCCCTCCATTTTCGACTTCAACTCCTCCTCCTTGCACCACACGAATTCTTCACTCCCTTCTTCTTCCTCCTCTCCGGCGTGATACTCCTCGAATCCCCAAGGTTTCTCCGGCGACCTCGTCGCCGACGTTCGCTTCCCATGCGGAACCTGGAACACGCCGCCGGCGGTCTCGGCGGCGGCGGCCACGAGCTGTGACGGAATCCCGTGGTTGATCAACTGGAAGCATCCGATCCTGGTGAGAGAGTCGGAAACGACGTCGCGGAGAGCCTCGTCGCGGTGGAAACATAGCGACACGAAATCAACCTCGGGAGGCGCGTGGAGGTGCTTCTGTTTGGGGAAGATCTTGTCCGGCAGTACCAGATCAGGGACGCGGAGCGAGGCCTCTAGAAACTCCGTCAAAACTTCATCGTTGGTAACGGTGGATATCCTGCCGGAGGCCACCGGAGAGGGCGGCGGTGCGCGGAAATCGACGGGGATTTCCGGCATGGGCAAAATCGGCGATAGCATTAATTAATTAACAACAATAGTGAGAGTGAGAGTGAGAGTGAAAGAAAGTGGTTATTTGAACGGAAGAAATGAAGGGAAAAAGGTAGAGCGATGATAGCGTGTCCCTTGTACTGTGGACATTGTTTCCGGGAATCATAACGACGTCGTTTCTTTTTCCCTTTTTTGGTTTTGCTTTTCGCTCACTGCTTCTCTTCCTTTACTTTACAGCCCTGGTACCAGTGTGTTCCTCATCATTTCATTTCACACACAAAACCAATAATGACAACAACAAATATTATTACTCCTTTTCCTGTGGGGGCTTGTTATGTGTCAGTACTATAATGTTTCTGTGTGTTTTCACACTAATATCATCTTAGATTTTGTTCAACGTGAAACTTTTAGATTTGTCTTTTTTTCTTAATCAACAACAATGGTTAAGCATGTGTATTCTTCTTTAATTTTGAACCTCAAAATTTATATTCGTATATGCTACGCCGGGCATTTCATAAAGTGACGGTGGTCGGAGAATTGTTGAACGAATCTCAAAATTCGAATTCAGTGATAAAAAACGAAGTGATACCAGAAAGGTGGAACAAAAAGCAAAAGCTCCTTAATCCAACGCTAAAAGTAAAGGTAAACGTCAAATGAACGCCAACTAAGTTTTGGATTAAGAGGCCCACCACAACAACCTGAATTTGGCCCATCTTGATTGGGCTCGAAAGTGTTTTCTTTTTAATGGGCTTCAATATTCTCCTTTTGATATTATCCCTAATTTTATATAATAAAAATCAATGACAAGGACATTCATTGATTGTAAGTTTCTAATTTTTAAAGATTATATTCGTTTTTAGTTTTCTAAAATTATTTTTTAGTTTAAAAATTTGTTTCTTCTACTAATATAAATTCAAAAGCTACCAAAAATGATTCTGCATTATTAAGTATTGTATTTTGTATTTATCTGTACAAAGCCATATTAATATATTTGTTTACACCAATCCAAACATAATTGTCACGTGTTTTGCTTGTTGATAGCTTTTATATGCATAAAATTTGATTTATAAAATGTGTCAAACATGCACCATTTTAACTAACAAATTGTGCGTGTTGTTCATAGTTTATTCATACCTTGAGTCACGAATGGGGTATTACAATCTCCTTTATGTTTTATAATGATTATCAGCGACAGTAATTGGTGTCATAACTATGACTAGTAAAATAAAAAATTGAATTTTTTATTGTTCTTATAATTATATCATTCTCCAGCTTTGCACACAGTATATGTAGTCTTTTAATGAGAACCAGATTCAATTCAATGTATTGGGCTCATGCAATTAATTTACACACACCATGTTTGATTATTAGGACTAAGAAATGCCATTAAATAATAATAATAATAATATAAAACGTAGTCTACTTTGGAAGCTAATAGGCTATCCATTCTTGTCTTTTTTTTTCCTTGATGGAGACCCAATTACTCCATCTTTTTCAAAAGAAGTCTAACTTTGAAGAAATAGTGGAGAAATTCCAAAATGAAAATTATTTAAAAAAGACCACATTTGGTGAAGATAGCAATGTTTCAACTTCCCTAAAGAAAGAAGATTTGTACATTGTGTAATTATCTTATTAGTCACTTGCAAGATTTCAATATCGAGAAGCAAAAATAATATTTTTATTCATTGTGTCTTACTTTAATGCTTAAATAATCTCACCTTTACATTTAAACCTTTTTATAAAAGTTAATTAGGTGTAAAAACTTTTTTTTATTTAAATAATGCAAATAATTATTAACAATTTCTTAAGAGATTATAATATATAAAATAGCATCACCATTTTATATGTCTTTTACTCTCCACACCAACATAACACATTGAATGAGGATGTTTGGTTCTTGCCACCACATAGCATCATCATATGGAACTAAAATTCTACGTGTTAGTTAGAAAATTCCAATAGTAGCATGTTTCAGTAGTTGAAATATATGGCACGACCTACCAAAACAAAACATAAGAAAACAAGTTGCATCTACAAAATTTGCGGAAGATGAAGTCATGAGTTTTTTTTTTTTTTTTTTTTATCTCGAATCAAACTTTAAAGTCCCAACCACATTCATTCATGATTCAAATCTTAAGAAACCATCATTCATGGATGTTTGTTTGTTCAGAAACGACCAAAGTCCAAAACTTTCTCTAAAATTAGACCTTCTCCATTCCTCTAACCAAACCCTAAACCCTAATAAAAATAAAAGAAAAAAGACACTCATACCTTTTCCTCTAAGACTTTGTCTCCTTTGCCCATTTCTTTAGTTGGAGTTTGGTAAAGAGAACAACATAATAAAGAATGGAAATATAGACTAATGAAAAAAAAAAATAAACTTGTTTAATTTAGAAAATAAATATTTGTGTTATTATGATAACATAAGAATGGTGAGAAGTTTTTGATGTTAGGTGTATTAATTATACTATTCTTTAACTTCCAAATTTTTCTCTTCTTCTTTTCCTTGTATATATGTCCTACACCTAACCATTCATTTTTCCGCTTGTCAAATTTCCTCTTCTATATTCAACCTTCAACCATCTTTATACCTCTAGTATCACCACAATCGTTAAGAAACTGCATTTTACATAAAAAAAAAAAAATTCAACAATTTTTGTTAAAAACACTCTGATATATCATAGGTTTAGACTTAAATCAACCTCATAAAATCAATTTTATAAAATAGGATTTGTCTTTCTATATGTATCATAATCTATTATATTTTTAATCTGTGTAATTTTGCATAATTTAAAAAAAAAATGTTAGGTTTAGCTATCCTTTGGCCACAATAAGTCCACAGTGGGGTAGGTATGAGTTGATGGATCATCATTTCTCTTTCCTATTTCAATCTTCTTATTGAATTTGGCATATATTAGAATACTGAATAGAATAGTTGGAGAAAATAGAAAGTTTTTAGTTGGTACTTAAAATACTAATATACATGCATGCATGGTGGTTAAGAGTTAGTGAACGGTGTTGAATATAAATTCAACAAAAGTTTGTATATGGCTCCCAAAATAGGATAAGATATAAACCATCTTGTACATATTCGAATAAATATCTTTAGTCAGATATTTAAATAAATATTTTTAATTACGTTACCGCTAATAAATGAGAAAAATATCTTTTAAATTTTTTATCAATTAATTATTATTTTATTAAATATTATGTATTATTTTATTTAATTGTTTATTCATTATTTTCACGTACTGAACTTAGTATTAGTGAATCTTTTACAGATATATTTTTTTAATTTTATATGTGGAAATTATAAGTTTATGCTTGGGTTGTTTTAATTGAAGGAAACATAGTAGAAAGTGAGGAGAAATAAGTGAAAAGATGGTAGAAGATATAATTGATTTGATCCAATAAAAAATTAAAATAATAATTTAAAATATATAATGACTAAAATATTACTATATTGATAAGAAATAAAATAAGTATAAATTAAAATGTTGCTATAATTTAATTTAAATTAATTAATTTATATTATACATAAAATTGTCATATATATTAAAATTATATCATATATAAAGTATAAAAATAAATTGTGATATGTGTAAGAAATATTTAAAATCTATTGATTTATTATGTTAATAATAATTTATAATTTTTATTAAAATTTGATTTCACATAAAATATAATATTAAATTTTTTAAAAATAAAGTAAAACGTGCATATAAAATGTGCAGTCTTTTGATAAAAATTAAAGTTAAGTGAAACTTGAATGAAAAATATATTGATAATTAATAAAATTACAATCATAAAAAAAAATTATCCAAATAAAATTACAGTCATCTAAAATAAAAACTAAAGAAAAATCAAGTAAAATAATCCAAAATGAAAAAAATACAGTAATAAAAAAATTTAAATAACAAGACAAATAGAAAGATAATAGAAATAACATGAATAAAATATATACTTAAAACCCTCATGAATATGATCAATTACATCTTCAACCTGATGAATCCTGTGGTGCACATAATTAATCTTTGTTTGAAGACTCTGATAATTATTCTCAACATTAACTTAAGTCTATTCATGCATTTTTGCATATCCTGAATATCTCCCCATATTAAGTTTATGGTATCAGCTTGTTGGAGAAGATATATTTGTTCTCCTTGAGGGGATGCTTGTTCTTGTTCAATCCTCATCTTCTTCATTTTCACTAGAGGGGTGATCTTGCTCAAGGTTAGGTTACTGGACATGGTGACCTTTTCTATGTTGTCATATCCCATCAACATTTACGACATTCAACTTTTTTAAAGATCTCTTACTAAATCTATTTGTTCATATGAGGGAGTGACTTGATTGTAAAGTCAAGTCTAAGTCACAATACAATAAAATACGAGTGAAAAGACCATAAGGTAGAAACATTCAATTAGTTTTACATTTTCTCATATGTCTGATAATATAATAAGACCAGTTAATTGAAATGTGATTCTTTATGCACCATATCATAAATATCTCATCCTGTAAGACTTGAGTATAATTGCCTCCTCGAGGACTAAGTTTGTCCTCCATAATCAAACTACCGACATTCCTACAAGTTTGTACTTGTAGTTTCGGTCTACCCATTGCAGCTAGTGCCTCATCTCTCTCATATCTCAGGTCTTCAAGGATGCTAGTAAGATCGATATGATGATTTTGATATTTTAAATGGATGAGATTTAGCCAATCATTAGGTTTTATCCTAATCTACGTCTATAACACCTTAGTTACTAGCTCATCAGAGTCAATTAATTTTAAATTTGTGTAAAAGACATTTATGAGGTCTTCATAAATACTACCTGTCGAAGTTAGAAATTTATCTAACCCCAAAAAAGAAAGATGATGAGGGAATTTGAACCTACTCATAACGAAAAAGTTCAAGTCCATTACCTCTGGTTGTATTATGGGTCTGTAGACATAATCTCCATACTATTTTTCATTTGTCGCTCGTTACTGAAGTAACAACCATTGATCTAATAAAGTTGAGAAATGAGGCA